TTAATTTCTATTTGATATATAATATTAAAGGATAAAAAAGGAAGTCTTCGCCGTTGATCAATCCCTTTGTGGGATGCGGCACGCATTCTACTTCCATTCAGAATCGTAGTGGCTTATTGAATGCGATGTGGCCTATACAATGACTTGCGGTGGCCAGCCGATGTACAAGTCAGTGTTTTATCCTCCCAGACGAATCTGGTACCAATTTACCGTCCCCGGAGGGTAGAAGGCTTGGTTGGCCTGGGCGGGAGTCGACCCGGGATTTGAACCCGGCGCCGCGCGAGTGGTAAGCGCGCCACTTGTCACTACACCACCTCCGCCTCGTACCATTCATTAGTGATCAATTTTTCTCTTAGCCCCCCCCCCGCTCGACAGCTGAGTTTTTGGGAAATGGCAAAATTTCGAAAAGAAGTGATAGGCCGCTGACGGAGTTTGGTAAGATGGTAAGTAGGATGGGGAAAGCGACCGTACTGGAGGAGGAGCTTTTCTGGGGGAGGGAGGGGTTGCCTTTTTGCAAGAATTTTCTTCAGCGACAAGACACTACATGTTTTCAGCCATCTACCGGGACGATCATCCCATCCTGCATTCTCCCAAACGATTAGGTACCTTTGACATATCGGATACTGGGAGGTTTGGTTTGCCTACCTAAGATCACTGACCATGTATTCGGTTGTGTCATCGCGTCTTCGTCAGCTGCCCCTTGGGCTCTCTCCTCATGGCTTCCATTGCTTTTGCACTGAAGAACAAGGATACCTACAATAAAAAATCAGCCCGCTAGTATGATCTATGTGAAGCAAGAATTCGGTTGAAGAAGTGTCCACATCGGCTGCAGAGAAGAGTGAAGTCAGACGTACTACCTCTTTCTAACAAAGCAAAAAGAGAAGCGTGGCCCGAGGGTGAGCAAGGTTCATTAGGCCAGAACTTGATGATAGCACTCAGTCACACTGCCTCAAGATTCGCCGTAGTATCATTCTGGGTGGTAGTTCCTTTACCCTCTCAGACGATTCTAGTACCAATTTACGGTCCTGCCGGGTGCCATCACATGTCTTTACAAGAGTCAAATCTTTCCGCCCGTGGGAGTAGGCAATTAGTCCTCCCCCCCCCCCTCTCTCCACCAAGTCGAACAGCACCGGTAGGTAAAGCACTGGGCCCTTGAGTGAAAAGGGCCATAGTGGCGTTCGTGGCAGAGAAATTGTAACCGAAATGTGGGGCGACAATAGGGATCGTATAAACACAATCCTCATTATTATCATGCCGTTTTTTCTTAATTGGGACTTATTCCCTGGCTCAGATATCAGAAATTTTTAGAGGCTAACTTCCGAATGCCCGCCACACTAACCAGTTAATTATCTAACTAATTAATTATCATTGTTTAAAAAGTTGAACATTTCAGTTGAACATTTTTACAGTTTGCCAATGTTCTTTATTTGGAATCTCCGGTGGGAGTTGGATACTCGTACTCTACGGATGGTATACAACCGCAGTACTCTGATGATCTGGTAGGTCTTAGACTGTCTTAATGTGTACTTATATTTTTTCGGGTAATGAACTCTTTACTTATCATATCCCGGAATCGGAAAGGGCGTGGCTTCTTGCTTCATTTGGAGGCGGCTGAGGTTCTGGTGGAATACTGCCATTCTGAGACCATTGTAATCATGTCTTCGCTCACCGCAAGAGAGAATGACAATTGTTTCAAAGAGATATATCCCGTGCGAAAACATCTTACACCATATTCAAATGGATTGCTCGATGATACGCAGCCACAAATCTCTCCCATTCTCATGATGTGGACAGACTTAAACACAAATCCTTCTCTTCGTGCAATTGTTATTAGTGCAGTTTCTCAATTTGGATGATATTCCAACTAGATCAAATTGCTGGTCTCACGCGCGTGCGGTCGCAAGGCGGTGGGACAAGACGAACGGAGCCAATCGTTGAAGGCTAGCCGTCTAGAACCATGGATCCATAAGCAGATGGCAAAACACATTAACACGTTGAGTATGTTATGGACTGAGGTGTATCGAGCCATTGTGCCTTTTCCTCCAGCTCGTGCTTTTTCTACGGTATCGTCTCTGGGAAGGGGAGGGCACAAAGGCCCGGGTATGTCATTGTGCCTTTCTCACAGTCGTGCTTTCTCGGTTACCGTCTTAGGGAAGGGGAGGGCACAAAGGCCCGGGTATGTCCATACGACCGGCGCGGAATATTTGTTTAATTGATAGTCTTGTCACTGCGGAGGCTGAGGCGTGTGAGATTGCTGGGTTTGGCGCGGCACCAGTCCGTTCCCCACCAATTGTGAAAGCTGCTCAGTGGCACAATTGGTGGAAAAAGGCTGGCGCTGCGCCAGGGCAACCAGAAGTTCTTTTTTCTCTCTACGGGAGCAGATAAACCAACTGATGTTTCAGACAGCAGCCGAGAACTACGCGGCTCTTGTGGATTTCTTCAATCTCTATCCTGAATATCAAACTCGACCCTTCTACACGACTGGTGAATCGTATGCTGGTGTATATATTCCTACACTTTCAGCATTGCTCATAAAAGGAATACAGAGTGGAGCACTGAATATTAATTATAAGGTATGAGCCTCGTAAAAAAACACTCGAAACACTTCTGTCTCTCGTTCCACTCTGAGATGCGCCGCGCATTCGACTTTCTCAGCCACTCGCGGGGCACCATTTGCCAAATTTCGTCAGCTTTAAAAGGCACGGTCCGCGATCAGGTATCGAAGTTGAAAATATGGCGTCAGGAGGTTAGAGTGGTCCGCGACGAACAACCTTGTACCGGTTTCGCGGCAAAAAATTCTAAGGGAGGGGCGCTATAGCGCAATATAGGTTCAGTGGTTCCTCCTTTTCCAGTGACTCCGCCTCCAGACTCCGCCTCCAATGCCCGGCTTTCAGTGAAAAACGAGATTGCAGGACGAAAAAGCATGAAAATCGTCACTTGTACGATCGTAGAGTTCTTATCGGTGAATCAGCTGTGCGTGCTGTGAGGGCTAATGTGGGAGATAGTTAACTGGGCACGTACAGACTGGGATCGTAATGGGGTTCTATCTAGGGCAGGTGGCATGTTTTTTGTGCTTTTTTCTTCACTGTCGAGTTACTCAACCCCTTGTCGTCTATATGGAACCCCCTAATTCACTATCTGGGATGGCGAACAATCGCGGG